TGGCCCCGCCGTGAGCCTGGCTCTCCGCGTCTGGCGCTGCCCGGCCCCCTCTGGCCCCTCCCTCTCGGCTGGGAGCTGGGAGCAGAGCCGCAGAGCGCTCAGCTCCGAGTCCTCTGCTCCACGCCTCCTGGGCGCAGAGGCGCCGCCGGCAGCGGTCTCTTAGGAGATTTCTCCGCAGTGGGGCTGGGGGTCAGGATTTGCAGGCGAGCAAGGGCAGAGAGGAGAAATCACACAGGTCGGTGACACACCTTATTCCCAAAGCCTGAAACTGCTGTCAAGTTGGCGGTCACCTAAACTGGACATCTCTTCTCCAATTATCTGCAAAAAGTGATAGCTGTTACATCTTTAGGAGGCGATGCAATGTGCAATGGTGGAAGGGACGTTCAGGAAAAAGGCATGGAGGCCTGCAGGACAGGCTCTTGGGTCCAGGATTCCTCTAATCACCGACTTGGATGTTTGGGACATGTAAGGGGCTTTAGTCTTTCAGGCTGACCTTTCTTTCCATGAGTGATGAAACTGAGACCCAAGACAGTGTCATTCTGAATCACTGACAGGGTGCAGATAATGACTCCAGGACTCCCAACCCAGTGCTCCTTCACACCTTGTCTGGAAAGCAAGATCACCTTGATCAAGAAATCAAGTGAGGCTTGTAGGAGATTAGAAGGGTGAATCTGAGCCAAAGCAGAAGATGAGGCCAACCAGTTACTGCAGGAGACCTTCTTGCCCAGCCCTGGGACCACCAGCAAAGCTGCCAAGGGTACCCAGTGCAGCTTCCCAGTTTCCACTCTTCCTACTCTCTATCCTTGCCACCTTCTCACCAGGGAGAGTTTCAGCATGCCTCCTCAGGCTTAAGGGAATGTTGGTAGCGACCAGAAAGCTCTCTACCTCTGACTTAAGAGTACAGGTCTACACTCAGATCTCTGCCTATTCTTGGGAAGTAAAGGGGAGCCTCTTGGGGATTTAAAAATCTCTTTTTTTTCCCAACAAGGCCAGACTTTCAAGACTATTGTCTTGCTAAGGGTTTTTAAACTCTATTTTGAAAGTCATAAGCTGAACTTTTTATATTTACTTTTTATTTTGGAAAATGTCAAACATACACAAATTTAAGAAAATAGTATAATAGACCTCTATGGAGCATCCCCATCATGAACAATAATCGACTCAACAGTCATAGTTGAAAGAAATCTCAAATATCTATCTATCTATCATATCATTATATCTGTAAATATTTAACAGAATGCAAGGATGTTCTCAGTCACAACTAGGGTTGCATCAAAAAGACTAAGGAAACAATTCAAAGAGGCTCCCAAAGAGGAGCCAATTTGAGTCAAAAAAGATCATTGCAATTGTTTCAAACACACAAATAGGATTACAGATATAAGTTGACAATGTTTCTAAAACAATCCAGTAATTGATAGTTGGGAGAAACCAATTCATTGTTTTGAAACTATTTTAGAAACAAACAAAACAATTGTGCATTTATTCTGCCTTTTCTATGCCAATGGAACCTCAAATTATTAGGCTTTACTTTTACTTTGTCTTTGTCTTAGCTTTTCTGGTTTAACAGCCCTGGGTCACCAATAATTGGGTAGTTTATTGAGTTAGATCCCACGTGGCTGACCGATTAGAATCCTGGCTTTGGCAACTTGAGAAACATGCTGGTCAGGTGTGTATGCAAACCCAAAATCCCTACAGGAAGGAGAAATGGAGAAAGGATTGTGGTGTGGCCACATCCCACTAGTCGAGAGGGTGGTTTCTTCCTTTTCTGGCTCTCTTGCAAGCACAGGTGCTGTGCCTTTTAGTAATTAAAAATACAACAACAACAACAATAAATAATCCTAATCTTTGCTGAGGCAGTGGATGCCTCAGGCTACATGGAAGGAGTGATACCTCTTATAAAGTTTATAAATGTTATTTGGTCAACTCGCATGACCCTGACTTTCCATTTTGTGGGAAGGGGAATGAAGCCCAGATGAAGACCTCTTGAATTCGTAGGTTGTATTGGCTGGGCCTGCATTGGTATATAACAGAAATTCATCCTCAGTGATTTAGCCTAACAAAGGTTTACTTTTCTCATGTAAAATGAAGTGTGAAAGCAGACTGTCCAGAAGTTATACAATACTTCATGAGGCCACCAAGGAACCTAGATTCTTTGATCTGTCTTAGTTCATGGATGGCTTTTATCCTAATGGCCACAAAATGGTTATTTCTTTGAGTCATCACAGCTGTGTTGCAAGAAGAAAGAAGGAAAGGAATGAAAGGTGAAAGGTGAAAGGCCTCCTTGCTAAAATTAGCCTCTTTGTTTAGGAATGAACACTGTTAAAACTTCACTTACATTTCACTGGTCACAAGTTGGTCACCTGCTCATAGCTATCTGCAAGGAGGGATAAAGTATTTTAGCTGGGCTCATGGCTAACTTTTAGAAGATCAGGGTACCCTCAGTAACAGAGAAGTGAGAAATAGATGTTGGGTGAGTGACTAGATGTATTTGACACAAAATTCCAAAGCATCTCAATGCAATCCACATTGGACTGAAGGTTTCACAGTTGATTAAGAACTTAACTATCAACTGCCATGACAATTGGAAAGGCTAGAACTGCCATTGTTGAAGTAATGAAGAAAGATGGCCTGTCATTTGTCCAAGTCACACAATATGAAATCAGTAGAAGAACTGGATAATACCTGTAGGTGGCCCAGATCCACAGTCCTCATTGCCTGATTACGATGAAAATGGAGCGTCATGAGAAAATTTACTACCACCAAATGATAAGTTATAAGACAGTAGCATTGACCAACTTACATGCTAAGAGATTTAAGTAGATTAATCAATGTGTAACTTTCCATAAATTATTATTATTATTTTTTTTTTGGAGAGATTTTCACTGTAGGGCGCGTGCACTCGCCAGACAGAGAGAGACATAGAGACAGAAAGCGAGAAATCACCCCCCAGGGGGAATGGTCACGCCGCAATCCCTTCTCCTCCATTCTCCTCTCGGGATCTTGGGCACGCACTCACACGCGCCCGGCGTGAGTTTTAAGCCACCGGGTCCGGGACACGAACTGTGGTCGACTACGTGGGAGTCCAGCGACATAGCCATTACGCTAACTGCTGGTTCCCACTTTCCATAAATTATTACTAAAGAGCCATCTCCTATGTTTTAAAGATATCTGTTTAAGTATAAACACTAGTTGGCATACATATCCTTCTATCATATTAACTGTATGATTTATTTGAACACACAGTTTATGGGAATCATTAGTAATTACCAGTTAAGAATGGTGGGCTCTTTTTGTAATCCTGGAGAGAAGGCTTTCAAAACTCAGTAATACATTTTTAAAAATTATGGGGTCAGCAGATGGTGTGGTGGTTAAGGCGCTGAATCCCATATGACTGACTCTGCAATTCGAATCCTAGACCTGGTGACTTGAAAAATGTGTTGGGTGCATGTGCATGCATGCCTAAAATCTGCAGAGGAGAACAGAGGAGAAGAGATTACAGTGTGGCCATCCCTCCTAAGGATTGATTTCTCACTTTCTCTCTCTCTCTCTGTCTCTTTCTGTCTTTCTCCAGTGAGCTCACACATCCTATGGCAAAAATCTTTTAAAAAATGGAATCATATTTAAGCAAATAAGGCTTTTTTTTTAAAAAAAGAATTATTTATTTAATTCCATTTGTTATTATTATTTTTAAAAATTTGACTAGAGAGAGACACACACACACAGTGAAAAGGAAAGTGAGAAAGCAAACTGCCAGATCTGGGACTTCAATCACAGTCAGCCATGTGGGAATCTAGTGCCTTTAACCACCATTCCACCTGCCAAACCTGCTAATAAGAAATTTTAAATATAGAACTAATAAAGGAATGACTAATAATTTTGATAGGCACTCACATCATTTTCACTTAGCAACCTAGAATGGCATGATTTAACATAGGGTTGAGAAGAACCATTTGCCCCATCTAAAATTACATCCTAATGTGGCATTATGCCTATAATTCCACAATTAGAAGTTCATTGCTGGCCCAGCTGTGGTGGTGTGTGTGCTGAGATGATGTGCTCTGAAGGCTGGGTCCACATGAGAGGACTGGACTCTATTCCCTGTCTACCCTGAGGGCTAGGCATGGTGTTACACACCTGTAAATCCCAGGAACTCAAGGAGGCTAA